TTGAAGTGATGGTTGATAATTGAGATGGAAGGGAAGGTTTTGCTATGGTTGATGATTTGGAAGTGGATGGTTGAGATGCAATCTGTTAGATTTGAAATAGGGTGGTGCAATAAAAAAAATTTAGGTACTTAAAAGGTGGTACTTTAAAAAAAAAATTAGACAAAAAAGGTTGTTTATACCAATTTTACCTAAAATAAAATAAAATTTCTGATAGGTAACAAAAATCAAAGATGATTTTTAGTGGTAGTAAAAGTCAGTATTTCTTAATAATAAATTAATAAGCATTGGTTATAGAATTGATTCTTCCGATCACGACTTCATGTGTGGAACGAGTGTTTTCATCAATGACATAAGTACAAAAAATAAGATGAGGAATAGTATGGACGATGAATTTTGTGATAATGAAGTTTTGACACGCTTTCAAAGTATGAAAACTCGAAGAATTTTTTGTAGTATTTTTTTTTTTCATTTTATTTTACTAAGTGTGATCCATTCGTAATCCGAAATTTAAACTTACATACTAAAATTTTAATTAATTAATATATATATATATATATATACACACAATTCCAAAGCCACACTTTAGAAATAAATTCCTTGATACCAGTATCCAACATAACTATGTTTTAAATTAAGTCATTAAATTATTTGATTTTACTTGTCATATAATTTCTTAAAATTGCTAATGGAACAAATATTTCATGAACGTAGAGAGGATGAGATAATGAGTCGTGTTTTACTTGAATGAGAAATATGACTTGGTTAACGAACTTTTGAATAGTTAAAAAGAGAGGTTTAGAACTGGAAAAATACACTTTAATAATTCTAACTATGGACGATTTACTTTTAATAATCTCAACAAAAAATTATTATTCAATAATCCTAACTGTGGGGATAGTTTGTCAACAATAGTCCCAATGACCAGTAACTTGCTGAAAGATTTTTTTAAGCCACGTGTCAACGTATCATTGTTGTAAAATTTAAAAATAAAAGTAAAAAAACAAAAATATTCCCAAAAATTCCCAACCACCCCACAAACCCTAACCTTGTCGGAAACCGGCCAGCCACCAACTCCCGACTACCAAAACCACCTCCTAGCCAACCCCTGACCACCAAAACCACCTCCCATCCAACCCTCGACCACCGAAACAACCTCCCAGCCCAACCCCCGACCATCGAAACCCCCACTTGACATGGCCCCGACCCTAGAAACCGCCACCTCAATCTCCTAAACAACTATGAAATCCAGCGAAAACACTGCCACACCCACCACAAAACCCTAAACTCGACGAAAATTGGCTGGCCGCACCCCTGGACGACCAAAACTCACCGACTAGCCTTCTAGAAGGCCAACTGACCTAGCCCCAACCCCGTAACTGCCTAACCAGCCACCCTGATCCAAAAACCACCAACACATGCGCGGTGACTTTAGGTGTTTTTGGGGCACTACTACATTTTTCATCAAATGCCACGGCCTAAAAAAGGCTAATACAACGGTATTTAATTGTCGTTGCAATAGAGTAGGCTAATGCGACAGACGGTAGATCTATTATAACGGCTATAATGAACCGTTGCATTAGCCTAGATATATCAATAAAAAAGAAAGCTATTGCAACGGTAGTGATTATGTAATGGAAAAAATAGCGCCCTGAAAATTTCAGCTCCCTCTACTTTTTTTGCCCAAATATTTTGAACCCTTGTACACTATTCCAAGGGCAAAAAATAAGAAAAAAAAATCAAAAGAAATATTCCCCCCAATTCTCCGCCCATTTTCTCCATTTCAATAGACTAAGCTACTTCCCCCAATTCTCCATTTTCTCCATTTCACCGAATTATCCATTTCCCCCAATTCTCCATTTTCTCCAATTTTAAAAACTTCAAATTCTCAATTTTCCCCAAATCTCCATTTTTGAGGCCAGAAATTACTCAAGAGGTGGGAAAGTAATTGAAATTACTCAAGAGGAAAACTAACTGAAATTGAGAGGTGGCGAAGTAGACGAAGGCGGAACTCAAGAGGTGGCTAGTTGTTCGAACTTCAGGTGACGTTTGGTTGCTCAAGAGGCGGCGAAAATCTCCATTTTCATCTTGCATGTGGCTGATATCTCGAAATTGAGTTCAAGCCCCTTCAAGGTATACAACGTTTTTCATTTCTGAAATTTCTTAATCGAAATTTTTGTTGTTGCATTTTGATAAATTAAAATTTAAATTTTTATTGCTGTATTTGGGAATTTGTATTTAAGGCCATGGAATTACTTGATCTTTGAGTTCGAATTTCATGGTTTTTTTCCTTAAATTTTATTGCAAAAATGCTATATATTGTTGGGCTATGTTTGGTTGAATTTGTAGTTGTTTTTGCTTCAATTATATTGGAAAAAAAAATGCTGTGATTTTCTGGTGTATATTGTGCTCGAAATTTGTGGTGTATATTGTGCTCGGATTTAATGGGTTTCTTTTAGCAGTATTGAATTTTTTTTGTTTTGTTTTTTTTTTTTTTTTTTTTATTATTGAAACTTAGTAGTACTGAATATTGTTGGTTTTTTTTGGGGAAATTTCATATAAATGCAATTATTTAGTTCTTTGTATTTACGAATTATATTTCTGAATCTTGTTTTTTTTAGTGTTGTTGGAATATATTCTGGTTATATTACTCTATGACTACTAGTTTAGACTTTATATTACTCTAATTTTGTTGAACTTAATGGGCAATATAAAGTCTACTTATATTGCTACTGCTACTGCAATGAAAAGCCAGGACTACTTGTTGAATCCTCATGAAGATTTTTTTTTGGTGAAATCGATAACTTAATCATACATAGAGGGTTGGGTGAATTTTAACTATTTTTAAGTCTTGGTTCTGCATTATGTTAAACATTTTTCAGTTCTGCATTCCTAAGGAAAGTTTGTGAGAATGTTGTAGCTGATTGGTTGTATCCCTGAGTTATTCTCCATGAGTTTGTGGCCTATTTATGGTGTTGTCAAACTTCTTGCACTTTATAAATAGTTGCAGTTTTTTGAGTACTTGAATCTTATTTTAATGTTAGCTTATCTGTCACTTGAACTATTAATGTCCAGATTTTTTTGCTAATCATATAAATGAAGTGTCAATGAAATTGAGCAGTCCTCATTCCCATAGTTTAATATACAAAGTGTCACTAATTGACAGGTTTCATTGGGAACATGGTTTATGAATAATTGGAGGGATTAAACTCAGTTTTGTAATTTAAAATTAAATTTTTAACAACTCCTAAAACTAATATGGGACATAGAGATTATACACAATGGTAATTTAGCAGAAGAATTTGGTTTCACAAAGAATATTCAACCGTAATCGGAAACTCCAACTAATGAGCCAACTTTTTTTTTAACTAAATTTGATTTTGAGACCAGACTTTGACTTGTACACCTGAATAAGGAACTGATTTCAGGTCCGATTTTTAATCTATTCTACACCAGACATGACTTATATCTTTCGAATCCACATTTGGGCTAATGTTCTTGCTCACTCCTACTTGTAACTAGTTTTTTCCTTTATAGATGTAAAAGCCACGCTTCATTATCCATGGTACATCTCTAACACCTATCCCATGATTTTAATTCAAATAAAGCATGAAAGTGTAGGTGGAAAGCAACCTAACATTTCCCCCTATGGTCTTGAACTACACCACCCATGCTAATTAATCTAGAAAAGCTTTTACCATAATCTATCTAATATATATTGCTGAATAATGAAAGGTATCAATTTCTTTTGGACTTTTGAATTGATCATGTACATGAAGGACTCTTAAGTACTTTCTTTGTTGGTGGTTTTGATAATGAAAGGTTTCTTTGAGTTGCTAGTTAAGGCAGCTTTGTTTGTTGGAGTATATTGGTAATTTGTTGACAATTTATGATATATTTTTATTTTCAAATACGTAGTAAAATATTTATTTCTCTTGGAAATGTATGTGTGAAAATGCTCTTATGTATCACAACTCATGAGTCATGGCTACAATTTAAATTGTGGAGAAGAAGTTTATTTTTAGACTAGTCCTCTTTCTTCCTGGTTGTTGTAGAGCAGATTTAATGTCCGTTCTTTCTAATTGATTAAAGTGACTCTCTTAATTCTTAGTGAATTGATTAAATGTTTTTATTGTTAAAATTAAGTAAAAATAACCCTCTTAATTGTTACCCAAAGGTATGGATAGTGGAACTAAAGAGTGGTGGATGTTTGCTAAATGGAGTGATGAATATGAATGGGGAGTAGATGAATATGTACAAAAGGCTTTTGCTTCTAAGTCTCAAGGAAATCAAATTTGTTGTCCTTGTGAAAGTTGTCATTATCGTTTTTGGCGTCATAAAGGTGTTGTGAGAGATCACCTTATTTGTAATGGTTTTGTTCCACGAACGGATAAGTTATCAGAGTTAGGGATCAACTTTGAAAGGGAACAAACTGTTTTGGATAATGAAGAAGGGTCAACCCCAAATGATTTTAATGATGACATAGTAGAATTGTTGCATGATGCACGTGATGCTTTTAGAAAGGGGCCAAATGATGAGGCAAAAAAGTTTTTCAAGTTAGTTGAAGAGGGCCGGGAAGAATTGTTCCCTGGTTGTAAAAATCATTCAAAACTTTCCTTCATGATCCGACTTTTTATTTTGAAGTGTGATCATAAGCTAACTAATGTTGCTTTTGGAGATATATTGGAGCTTATAAAAGAGGTGTTACCTGATGCGAAACTGCCAGCTTCTTTTAATGAAGCAAAAAGTGTTCTGAAAGTGCTGGGTTAGATTACACTAAAATTGATGCGTGCCCAAATGATTGCATGATATATTGGGAAGAGCATGAAAGTGCAACAAGTTGCCATGTTTGTGAGACGCCAAGATGGAAATCAAATGACACATAGAATGACATACAAAATGAAAATGGAAAAACCTATAGGATTCCTCAAAAGATTCTTAGGTACTTTCCAATCAAGAAAAGGCTTCAACGACTATTTTTGTGTCAAGAGACGGCGAAATACATGACTTGGCATGCTGATGGGCGTGAAAATGATCATCTCTTACATCATCTTGTTGATGGTCAAGCTTGGAAGGAATTTGATTCTTTATACCCAAAGTTTGTTGATGACCCACACAATGTGAGGCTTGGGTTAGCCACAGATGGATTTAGCCCATTCAATTCAATGAGCATTGTCCATAGTACATGGCCAGTTATGTTGATTAATTATAACTTGCCTCCTTGGATGATTATGAAGCCTAAGTTTTTGATGCTAGCCTTACTAATTCCCGGCCCGTTTTCCTCTGGCAATGACATTGACATATATTTGCATCCACTTATTAAGGACTTGAAGGATTTGTGGGAGTTTGGGTTGGAAACTTATGATGCTTCGACTAATCAAAGGTTTGACATGCATGTAGCATTGATGACTACCGTGAGTGATTTTCCGGGTTATGCAATGTTATCTGGGTGGAGCACAAAAGGATACTTGGCATGCCCTGAATGTCATTATGAAACAGATTCCGAGTGGTTGCCTTGTAGTGGTAAGACTGTGTATAGGGAAAATCGTAGATTTTTGGATCCATCTCACCCTTGGCGTCATGATAAGAGGAATTTTGACGAAAAACTTGAGGAAAGATGTCAACCTATTCCATTGAATGGAATTGATATTGAGAATATGTTGCGTGATTTTCCAAATGCATTTGGAAAGAAGCAAAAGAAACCAAGGCGTGATGTGGATGATCCGAATCCGTGGAGAAAGATACCCATATTTTTTGAGTTACCATATTGGAAGCATTGCTCTAATCGCCATAATCTTGATGTAATGCATATTGAGAAAAATTTCTTTGATAACATCATTGGGACATTATTAGACATTTCTCCGAAGACCAAGGATAATGTGAGTGCTCGTCGAGATTTGGTAGAACTTAATTTGATGCCAAAGCTTCAACCAATTGAATTGGAAGGTGGTAGTGAAGAATTTCCAAGATCTCGCTTTTGGATGTCATTGGAGCAAAAGCGTAAGTTCTGCCAGGTTATAAAAAATGCTAAGCTTCCTCAAGGTTATGCTTCCAACCTTAGTCGTTGTGTGCAAGTTGGAGAAAGGAAAATAGCAGACTACAAAAGTCATGATGCTCATTTTATGATGAATTATCTTCTTCCAATTGTTGTGAAGACAACATTACCCAAAGATGTTGCTAGTCCTTTGATAAGACTTTCTGCTTTTTTCAAAGGTATATGGAGTAAAACTATTGATCCTCGAGATCTTGACGACAAATTGCAATCTGAGATAGTTGAAACTCTATGCCTACTTGAGAGGATTTTTCCACCGGCTTTTTTTTATATAATGGAACATTTACCCATACACTTGGTTGACCAAATTAAGTTGGGTGGACCTGTGAGTTCAAGGTGTATGTATGGAATTGAGAGGAATCTTCATGAAATTAAACAAGATGTTCGAAACAAGGCTCGTCAGAAGGCTCAATGGCAGAAGGAAACCAAGCTAAAGAATGTGTTGCTTTCATAGCTAGATTTTTGAAACGATCAAGCAAAGCCACACCTGAAGTTAATGAGTGTGGTACCTCAAAATCATTTTTCCCTAAGGTAGGACATCCTATCAAAGGAAAAGGAAGGACCTCAAAGAAAAAAAATCGTGGAAACATAATTGATCGCAATACATGGGCACAAGCACATCGTTATGTCTTGTTTAATTGTCATTGTGAGGAAGTTGAGAAATATATAAGGTAAGATTTGTAATCAAAATTTAGGTTTATTAATATTTTTTTATAAAATGTCTTTATTCTAACTCTAGTGCGTTAGTAAGAGAATTTTTTTTTTTTTTTTTTACAGTGAGCACAAGATTTGTGTAAGTGCTAAAAGGAAAAGAAAATGGAATAGTGCTCAAGACCATAGCAAGGATTTCATGGATTGGTTTAGGGAGAAAGTTGATTTGATTCTTAAAGATGGCCATGATAATATCCCGGACCATATTTTGTGGTTATCAAAAGGTCCCTCTCACGTTGCCAAAAAGTACACAGGATACTCGGTTAACGGCTATAGATTTTATACCATGAAGCGAGATGCAAACTGCGTAACTCAAAATAGTGGTGTCACTCTAACCGCCATTACACATAGCTTTGCAAGCTCTAAAGATCAAAATCCTGTTGTGGGAAATGTTAATTATTATGGTTCAATAACTGAAATCATTGAGATATCTTATCATGGTCATTTCAGTGTTGTCTTATTTAGATGTCAATGGTTTCACTCAGAGAAGGATGATGATGAGCTTATTACGGTTAATATGAATAAGACCGTTTCTAAGGAAGAACCTTTTATCTTAGCAACTCAAGCACATCAAGTTTTTTATGTGGAAGATTTGAATAGAGAAGGTTGGCATTATGCTGTTCAAATCCCTCCTAGAGAGTTTTTAGATGGTATTGACATACATTATTTTAATACTTCACTAATTGTTATTTTACATACATAATTAACATACTTCCATTTTTTTTACATTGCAATTTATTTCAGTTTATTATATTAAATTACATGGCAATTTATTTCATTTTATTATATTTACATACATAATTAACATACTTTCATTTTTTTCCAGATGAAACCGAGTAGACCCAAAGTTCCTACTTCCCAAAGTCAGCTTACTGAATATGAGTTGCAATGGCTTTAAAAACTGAAATTCAATGCAGAGAGAATGGAAGCCCGAGGATCAGCATCTGTAGCTAATAAGATTCTTGAAGAAAAAACAAAAGCTTTAATTTGTCCAAGTGCAAGGCAAAATAGTGTACCAGAAAATGAAGATGATGACTCTACGTCGGAATATGATGGTGAAAATGAAGTTGAAACTGATGACATTATGGAAGCTGAAAATGTCACTTCTGGAAAAAGAAAAGCTAGTAAGCAGGTGTTCACTTCTATTTTGTCATTTATACACACTGTTTTATATTGTTTTTCACGGTTTACATGCAATTAGTAATGCTATAATTGCCTTTTTTTTATAGTTTTCAAAGCAAGTAAAGAAAACATCACTTCGCCCTAAAACTATGGCTGATGTTGTGGAAGTGAATAGCTGTAAGAAGCATGCAGTTGATGAAGTTCAGAGCACCCAAAAAAAGCAGCAAGTTATCTCAGAAAAGAAGGGAACAAAACGAGCATTCTGCTCTCCTAGTTCTATGTCAGCGTACCTTGAGTTCCGGAAAAGGCAAAAAGAAAATAATGATGGGTTTGTATCAAGTAATCAGTCTTTGAATTATTCTCTTACAAGAAAAGCAATGAATAATGGCGCTGCATTTAATGAGAATAACAATGATGATGCCGATGCACTAAGTGAGAATGATGAAGCGGATGCACTAAATGAGAATGATGATGATGTTGGTAATGAATATGAGGGTGATAAAGAATTACAAGATGAAGTTCAATTTCAGCTTGGAAGCGAAGGAATGCAAGGTATTTGCCATCATTTTACATAGTATTATTTATTTTAGCTTTTGTTAACATGTTAAAGTCTAGCTAGTGAAATGTTTTTCTCTTATTATATCTGGATTTGTTTACTAAATGGGCTTAATTTTATTTCAAGATTTATGAAATATTGGGGTACATAGTGAGTAGGATTCTGCCACTAGCTGCCTCAGTAATTAGCTGACCAGTCAGTATTCGGAATCGAGTTGGTGGAAATTTGTTTTGTTTTGTTGTTAAAGCTGATATGTTTGTCTTCTATTTATTAAGGTTTTGTTGTTGTTGTTCTTTGTTGTTGTTGTTGCCTAGGCTTTGTTGTTGTTGTTGGTCTGCTGCTGCTGTTTCTTCTGTATTTTGATATAAGTTAAAATAGTAGGTAAAGGTTCTGCTTCTGCTGTTTGTGCAGTGGAAAAGCTGTGTCTATATCCACAGTGAAAACTACTTAAATTCTAAATCAGTCATAAGGAAGCAAGCAATCAATCTCAAGTCTCGACCAACACATCTTAAAACCAGCTTTGCACGCATAAGTCATTGCAACCACAATGTCTACAAAGCCTCAGCTTTCACTTACATTGTTTATTGTTAAATAGCAACAACCTCTAAATCCTAACCCTTCTAGTCGACTACCCAACACAATAAAACACACAGATGATCAAAATTCTTCAAAAAGAACCCATTTGATGATCATGCAACACTTCCATAAACCCACAACAACTTCAGCCAAAGCCTCAAAATATCAAATTCACCCACATTGAGATGAAGCATCACAGAATTCTCTTCCAAATGTTAAATTAAATTTGTCTTTGAAACCAATCATATTCAACACTCAACACCAACATTATAGTCCCCCAATCCCCAACATAATTCACACCAACACAAACATAAATAATACTTGTAATTTGCAGTAAAATTCTATCAACTCTTGTCCAAACCCCCATCAAATAACACCAGAGTGATTGCTAAATTGCTTAGAGTTTATTTATAGTTAAGTTAATATATAACAGAATTTTAAAACTACTTTCATTAATGTCACTTTAGGTAAAAGTAAAAATGTAAAAGTAAAAAACATAGGACTACCATAGATAATTGATAAAAAAAAAATGGCTACCAATTAGAAGTCAAAAGTATGTATAAAGCGACCAATGAAACTTTTCCCTTATACTTCGTATTAATTAGGAAATCCGATCTGACTATGGTCCTATGGATCATTGTTTGAAATGAGTTTAAGCTGAATAGAGGTAAATAATCAGCAAAATATAACAAAGACTGAGAATTAAAAAAAAAAAAAAAAAAAAAAAAAAAAAAAACCACTTAGAAAACCACAGGTCTGTGAGCATTATCAGCAAAAGAACTGACAATTTCTTTACAAGATCAACACGCTTGTAGTACCAACATTAGCCAAAGCCATCTCTCACAACTAAAATACGTAACCATTAGCTTCTGCCTTGGGTGTACCAGTTTCTGCTTACATGTGTACATGTGCCTTGGGTGTTGCTTTTTGCACTATAATCTGTATCAGCTAATTATATATTGTGCAGATCACCTAAATAAAAATGTCCTTCACGTGCTTACATGTGTACATAGTTACTGAAATGTCCTTCACGTTTGATTCATTTTCGAATTCTTTCAATAGATGTTTATAAAGATACTTCAGAAGTATTATCAAGGTTCCTTAGCTTTTCAACAGATGTTTATAAATATACTTCAGAAGTATTGTTTATCACTCATACTGATTCTGTCCAAGAACCTCCTGATTCAGAACCTGAAAAAGCTCCTAAAAGCAAAAGGCATCGAGGTCCAACAATGCTACCCAAGGTTCATGCACGAACAAGAGAAGAGCGTGAAGTTATTGTTTTAAACTCACTAGGCCAACCAATTGGACCTACACGTGAAATTGTTCAGGAGTTCAAGCAATTCTTGGGTACCGGGGCAAGGGATTCTGAACTTGCACCACTAAATTACATTAAGTTTCCATGTCTGCCCACACTTGACAAAATGTGGGAGTATGTCCAAGTATGTAGTAATATAATTCTTTAGCTTAAGTTTGTTGGATTTCATTTTTAAAAAAGGATTCATATTTTGTTACTAGACCATAAATAATTATATATTCATGATTAGTGTAGGAAAAGTATATGGTTCCTGAAGCTGGAAGAGAATGGGTGATGCAAGCTATCAATGGAAGCTGGAAAGCTCATAAATGATTGACTAAGAAGAACTACTTCTATGCATATCCCACTGATGCTTTAAGATGGTTTCATAAGCCAGACACAATTTCAGAACCTCAATTCAGAGAGCTTTTGCAATATTGGCATTCTAAAGAGGCCAAGGTATTATGTATATGGTTTTGAAATGTTTTGTGCAATATTGACATAGTTTCATGACCTTAATATCCTATTTCAGTTTACTTTCTTATGATTTATTTACGTGGTTGAAAATTTTAAATCTTCATTGTGTTTTCACATAGGAAATCAGTAACATCAACAAAGACAATCGCCTAATTTTAGATGACATGCACACTATGGGCCGTAACTCTTACGCAATTTTACGCCATGAGTTGGTAAAATAATTCATCTCATTTCTAGACACTTTTATTATCTTTATAATCATTATTTTACAATCATTACATGTACTACATGAGGCTTTCACCCTTGTCCTTTAATTATTTGTAATCACTTCAATTTTATGTATAATGTTTCACAGTAACAACAAGATCCTGATAAACAAGAACCTTCTCAAGCAAGGGTCTATAAGGAGTCAAGGAAGAGAACAGTGGGAAGGACATACCGTACCAACCATGAAAAAATAGCAGAGAATATTGTGAGTTAACATGCATGTTAGATGTATGTTATATTTGTTTTGTTTTGATAAATAATAAGCACGTGTCTTTATTTTCCTAATATAGGCTAAAATGGATGATTTGGAGTCTTCCCAACATGAAGATGGTAGTAACTCTAAGGACCCTTACTCCGAAGTGATTCCAGAACCTAAGCGCAAAAGCCGTGTACGCCTACAAGGAAAAGGTGTGAAAAAGTCAGATTTGAAGAAAAAAGAAAAAAAAAAGTCAGATTTCATATTCCCGGCGGAATTCTTAGAAAATATGCAAGCTCAATTAGTACAACAACTTGCACCAAGCGTAACAACTGCAATTTTGACTCAACTTCGGGATGCTAACCCCGGGATCAATCTTGTCATTCCTGATTTTGCGATTCCATCGGCTCCAAAGGATGCATATAGTGCGCCACATCTTCTCGTTGACCAAAATAGGCAATCTTCTAAATCTGGGGCTACAATTAATCAGGTAACATAATTTATTTTCTGTTGCTTTTGTCTAAATTTAGTTTATGCTATTGACCTGATTCTGCCGTAGCTACTAATGAAATATTGCTGTTATGTTGATGTATTTTTCTGATGCCCACTTTTGCTTTATTGCTTTTATTTCTGTTTAATGGTTGATTCTTTTGTTGTTTGTTGTTGCTTTTATTATTGTATGTAGCTGTTGTTAATGTTCATGCTTCTGGTTGGTTTTGTCTTCCTTACGTTTCCCCCCCTTTTTTCACTTATATACACAAGTCCACGAACTGATTTAGTAGCTGGTTTTGTCTTCACTTGCTGCACAATTCATCAATTGTCGTTGCCCTGTTCTTTACCCTTGACCAGCTACTGTAATTGCTTATTTTTCTTCATGCACTAGCTGACCATAGTCACAACAGAGCATTCCCTCCTCCTACCATGCTGCGAACCCCCTTAGTGGAGTATTTTTCTTCACTCGCCTCAGAATTTATAGGCTGCCTTACACCTTATTCTGTTCTGAGGTAGTCTAGATTCAGCAACCCACTTAATCACCCCAATGCCTCTGCCTTGCACCTCTGTAAAGATTACTCTGCCTTACCACATAGGAGAACGTACCCATTCCGTATCCTCCTGATAGTCTTCCTACATCCAATGCTAAAGAACCCTGGTTTATTTAAGAAAACTTTATTGGTAATCTATTTTTCTAATAGCCAAATTTACTTAAAATTAGAGAGAATAATAAGCTTTGAAGTTGAACCTTGGCAAAATAAATGGAAAGCCACCCTCCCACACAGAAAGCAGAATACACTCATTGCCTGCCAAAATTTCCAAATTCACAGGAGTTCAAATGACCAGATGAAAATGTTAGTTCATAATCTTCATATTGTTCACCCAAATAATGTTTAATTGATGTTATTTTACTTCATACCCATTTCCTCCCAATAAAATCTGCAATAGGTCCACTCGCGATAGCTCCAATCATTGCAACAAAAGTCAATATAGAACCAAAAAGTGAAAACTGCATAAAATGAACAATGAATTGTAGAATTTGAGAACAAATAAAAACATGTCAAAAGAATGCGTCAATTACTGCTAGCTTAGGCATCCACTGCAGTGCAAAATATAGTTGGTCTTTGGTAGTGTGATAATGTTTTGCTCGTGTGCACGGGTTTGTAACATTTGTTGTGATTTATGAGTTTCCTTAATTCGGTTCTATTATTTAGTTAAATTATTTAGTCACATTATTTTTCTATTGTTTAGTTCTATTATTTTATTCTTTTTTACGTCTAGGTGCATGGTGAGCAAAATGGAGATGAAGTATAGTGACAAATGGTGCAAATATTTTGGCGACTCCTATTCTATTAAGTTCATAGTTGTGAAGATTTCAAAAATCCAGCTTATATATATGTTGGAATTTGTATTTTGGACGATTAAATTAATTATGTAACTTTAGTTTATTATTAGGGTGTCATACCGAAATTATATTAAGTAATATTTTGTAATGTACGTATTTAGCATTATAATTATTATATATAAATTTAATGAATTTTTGTTTCACTTAGCTAGCTTGTTAGTATATTTAGATTTGTAGTGAGTAATTTAATTAGTGATTTAATTTACAACTAATATAACTAACTCATATAATATTATTTTACCGTTCCATTAAAAAAATATTTTAATAATAATAATAATAATAATAATAATAATAACAACAATAACAATAATAATAATGTTGTTGCAATAGATACACTCTCCATATATCGTTGTATACAACAACCGTTGCATTAGGTGCCAAGTTCATCACAACTTTTAGTAAGTAATCTATTGCCACGGATAATTTATGTCGTTGCATTAGGTATTGAGCTAACGCAACGGATCATAGATACCGTGGCATTAGGTGTCATATACCGTGGCATTAGACCTACTGCAACGCCAGCAGATGCCACGGTACATGGCCGTTGCAGTAGGCCTATTGCCACGGATTTTGACGCCTAATGCAACGGAATTAGGGGTTGCAATAGGTCAAAAATGTAGTAGTGGGGGGTCAATGCTGGCTAGGTTAGTGGTTTTGGAGGTCGAGGATGGGTCAAAGGTGGTTGGTCGTTCGGTTTCGGTAGGTAAGAGGGGTGGTTGGCCGTATTTCGGCAAGGCTAGGGGTGGGGGTATGATGGGGGTTAGGTGGCTAGGATTTTTTTTTGTTTTATTATTTTAATTTATTATGTTTTAAATTTTTTTTAAAAATTTTGGACTAATCACGTGTCGATACGTGTCATGGTAACCGGTTATAACAGATCGTTGACTTAGTGGTGACCGATTGAGACTATTGTGGCAAACTACCTCCATAGTTAAGATAATTAGATAATAAATCTAAATTTGTAATTATTAAAAGTAAATCGCCTATAATTCAAATTATTAAAATGTATTTTTTCTTGTAACATAGTCAGAAAATGAAAGACACTCTTTGTTACCGCAGAAAAAATACAACTTCATCGATGCCTTGGTTCCAATGCCACTTGAAGTATTATACTTTGATTGCAATCAATAAATTGTAATTTTGTTGTATAGTGCGTACACGTTTATGTATGCAATAATACCTTGTTTCTCTCCCCACTGGTGTTAAAGTTTGACACATAAGCACACTACATATCCAAATTTAACTCCATTACCACATAATTTCATCATAGCCTGCAAATTAAAAGCATATGAGAATATTTTCACCCCAAGCAAGAAGAACGCCGTTGAGCAACTCAAATGATAATTAGTTAATCATGCCACATAATCTATTAAGCTAATTATCATTTTAGCTATTTTTTGCTCCAATAGCTAGCTATTAATTTAGTACTAGTTGTTAGATAGAAAATACATGAAAAGAGCTTAATTGGTGCAAACAACATTTTTTTTTGGCAAGTTTAATTCCCAAGCAAACTAGCTTAGCAAATCTAGTTGAGTTTTCTAACTCCAATGGTCAAGATAGTAGCTAAGAAATTATTAAAATTAAAAGCAAATCCCTAGGTACAATCATTGAAGTTGCTCTTATTGAAGAGGAATCCATCACATGCCAATACAATACAAGTTAGTAGGCAGCCTCATGGTTGTGAACTTGTGATATATAAATCTTTTCATTAGGTCAAATCTTACTTGGTCTAACAATACTAATACGTTCTTTTACATACTTTGCAATGAATTTGATGTATCAACCATAATATCTCATGATAATCTCCATCGAAATTCGATACGCTTTTTTTTATACGACATACTCTATGTAGCACTCTTCCCCAATCAAACATTACCTCCAATATTACATTGACATAGGATTTTTTGTTTATATATATATATATATATATATATATATATATATATATATATATATATATATATATATATATATATATATATTTAAAAATCATGGTTATTGTAATAAATTATAAATCCTAGTTATTGTAATATATTATTTAGGAATTTTCTATATAGTAACCACCCTCTAACTTTCTGTTTTATTTCTACGATGTGTCCCCTTTTAGAGAAATACACACTATAACCCCAAAATACATTTAGTTTATATATGGTAACCATGCCGTTATCTTGACGTTAACAAATTCCGTTAGTGGGACCCAATCTCCACATAATAATATATTTTTTATCAATTTGCGTGTTGGAAATTATTTCGTTTAAGATTTTGGGGGCTATTTTGGTTCATAAGGGACTAAATTGAGCTTAAATTTTGGAAAAAAAAAGCCACGTAAATGCCTCTTTTTGCGTATAAGAAATGTCTCAATTTTTAGTATGCACGTTCGTAATTAAAATAGCCCTATCTTTTTTAGTATGCACGTTCTTAAAATAGCCTTTTTTAGTATGCATGTTCTTAAAATAGCCTTATACAATAAATGTTTATGAGATACCACAACGTCAACAACATTACACTATAAACTACATATATAATACTTTTAGGGGGCGTTTGGTTCGCGAAATATAGGTATGAGGTATGGGTTTAGAAGGACTAAAACCCATACCTTATGTTTGGTTGTCAAAAGTATGATTTTCAAACACATACCTCGAACCCATGAGGTATGGGGTTTAGAAACCTTGGGGGGGGGGGAGGTGGGTTTGGCCCATTCCATTCCCTTAGGTATCAAATATAAGGAGGGAAGAATGAGGGAAACAGGAAAATTACCGCCAAAGTCCATCTTCTCTTCTGCCGCCATATTCATCCTTCACCCTTGAGTTGTCGAGTAGCAATAGTTCAGCCTTCATCCAGGTAATTCTTTTTTTTTTTTAAATTTAATTAAAATCTTGTTCTTAAGGTATTATCAGTGACACAGTGATGCATAATTTGTTTCTTAATACGGATGGTACAGATTTTATCATGTTGATTACCCTCCCACGAATTTTCGTTGATTGATTAGAGATACGTAAGTATTCACACATAAATTAATGATAACATATGGCAATAGATGAACACTTTTTTGAAGATGCTTGTGATTTGACTGAACGGTTGAATGTTGTACTGCTGAATTTGGATAATCATATCTCTTTGGTTGGACTGCATGTAAATTCCATGGAGGATTATGGAAGACTCCTTTTCCTTATCTTAGCAAGCTAGATGATATATTTGGTGTTGATAGAGCTAATGGGCTTGCGACTGAGCTGCCTGAGGACTCTATCCATAACCTTGAAAAGGACGTTGTTCACCTTGGTAATGATAGTGACAATGAAGAGTTATATGATACTCTTTCACCTGGTTTAGCTACAGATTATACTCAACCCCAAGCTCCTCCTGCTAAGAGAATGAAAAAGGAAAAGACTCCAAAGACTAATGAGAAAAAAAGAGCTACTCGATTTGAAAATTTATCATCTATTGACAATATGGCAGTTGGATTCCCTGGTTATATGAAAGATATGAATAATCATCTTGCTACTATTGCGTCTGCCATGAGTACAACACAAGAGCGTGAACAAGAGATTGTTGAACAAAAGAGAAGGCTATTATCTGAGATTGGAGGTTTGCCTAGAATTACCCAAGCTGAAGTTATAAGAGCTGTTAGTTTGTTTTCATCAAATCCTAGCCAAATGGAGATTTTCTATTCAAGTCCTAATGATGAATGGAAAAAGGAGGTGGTGCTTGACCTTTTGAGTCATAATGCTTGAAATAATCTGCCTATTTTCATGACAATTTGCCAAATGTGATGGTTTATGAATTTGTTTTCTTTGAATAAATATGTTCACTTGGAATTTTAAATAGGGTTTTTGAGTGTTAGTTTTGATATTAAATAATTATCTCAAGTATTGTGATAATTTTGAATGTGTTTGTTTAAAATTTAACTATTGCGTTGTAGTTATTGTTCTTAGAGAATTGGTTTTGCTTGTTAATTAAAATAAAGATTTTTGAAAAAATAGAGTTGATTCCTCATTCCAATAAATTTCTAACCAAACAACATGTAAGGGATGAGATCTCATTCCAGAATTGAACTAAACACATGGTATTAAGTATCAAGTTCCAACCCCATACCACTTTAACCCCATTCCTGATTCCAAACCCATACCACTTTGCGAACCAAACGCCCCCTTAGAAGGTATTGTGTTAGTCAGGACTGAAGAAATGTTTTGTCAATCCGGACTAACTAAATGCGAATTTTTGATGTCCTCAATTGGTGGGATGATATCCTCTATTGGCTGGATGATATTCTCTATTGAGTAGATGATATCCTCTACTAACTAGATGATATCCTATATTAGCTATATAATATACTTTATTGACAAGATGATATTTATACTGGCGGGATGATATTCTATATTTGCTAGATAATATCCTCTGCTAAATGGATGATATCCACTATTAAGTGGATATCATCCAACAAACTAATAGAGGATGTCATCCAACTTACAAATGATATCATATATCATCCAGCCTATAAATGATATAATCTAGGCAATGTATGAAATCATCTTGACAATAGATGATATCATCCAGCTTATAGATGATATCGTAGAACCAATAGAGGATATCATCCAAACTATAGATTATATCATGAAACCTATATAATAGAAGATATCGATCGATCATTGAACTAATAGAGGATATCATAGAACTAATACATGATATCATTTGGACAGTGGATGATATCATCCAACTTGTAGAGGATATCATCCAACTTATTATAGATGATATAATCAAGAAAATAGATTTATTTTATAAAAATAATTAAAAAGGTCAACAATGGTAGAATTACCATTGAAGGTCCCGTACTAAACTCATGAGTATAATATAACATGCTCATTTCTCAACCAAAGTACATGCATTTGTTATCAAAATGCTCACAATTCAATATACAATCATATAGAACAATCAATTTCAACATTTATACACCACACAAGAAAGCCCCAAATAGGTTTGTTTGGGCTATTTTCAAAAAATCCAAAAATCTCAATAAATTATCAAGCCAATTCAAACATAAATCATGGGCAAATATAATCAACAATATTTATTTTCACTATCCTTACCATCCTCTTCAATTCA